TAGAGGTTCCTGTAACAAGACGGGTCGCGTAGAAGTGCAGGCTACCAATAGTAGGTCGAGTATAGTGGCCCAGTGTAGTGGCCCAGTAGAGTTCCGGAGCATCTTAATCGAGACAGGTATCCGCGATACGTACGCGGTGTTGTTGGCTCGGAACCTGTCAGCGCGAGGCGTTAGTGAGACAGACAGGACGGGATAGCATTTGCGGGATTTGTGACAGGCTCGACGGCGTGGCTATATATACTGCGGCCGGTTGCTCGGATGGCTAGCAGGGCAGGATTGAGGGGTCGATATGGAGGCGATGGACGCAGGGCTGATTAGGGCTGCTTGTTGTTGATTCTGTTGGGTTGCGGCTGCCTTGATGGCTTCGAGTGGGTTCCGAGTGGGGTCTAGATACGGTCGCCGCAGTTCTCGGCTTTGATGGTAGGCGCCTGAGTCGCGAAAAGATGCAGCAACTGGCAGCGGGCGGTATTTGCTTATTGCACATGTCTTGGAGCTTTGCATAGAGGTCAGACATAGCCGTCGATCAGGCATGATAGAAGCCATGCACAGGGCCCAGCCGCGTTCCCGGCAAGCGCTGCTCCTATCGACGCCGCAAGAGACACATTGCGGGCCTGCCCTCCTTCAGCTGTCTGCGCGTGCCCAAGTACCGGGGCCAAGGTGCTATGCGGCGGCCCCCAAGCTTAATTCACTCTTCTTCTGGTCGCCATCAGCATTCGCGTCGCATTGCACATCTGCTTCTCCTGAGCCCTCTTGCCGTGAATTCTTGAATGTATTGACCCACGTTCTGCCAACCGACGGCGCGACGTCAAGCAATCCCTAGGCACTTGGCTACCGCGGTCCGGCCAGCAGGTTCCGATTGAACGCGCAGCCTGCCACCATGCCGCGACCTACATTTACCAGCAAGCTCTCGCTTCCGCACCGCCTCAAGCACCAGACCAGCTACACCAGCAACCCCAATTCCACCCCAACCTCTGTCCCCGCCAGCCGTACGGGGAGCCCCAAACTACGCGCCATGCCAGAGCAGCCAGTACCCGGCCTGGTCTTGAGGGCGAACGTCATCAAGGTGCGCCCGTCCATGTCTCCCCGGTGGAGCAGCCACAGCTGACATGAATGCAGGGCAGAGACCTCGCTGCAAAGGACCGGAGCGGCACTTCTGACCCCGTGAGTCCCTTCACAGGCATGCCACTGCCGCGAATGCCCCTCTAACCACCATGTCCACAGTACCTTGTCCTCTCGCTCGGCGACGAGAAATTCACAACTCCTACCATAAACAAGCAGCTGAACCCGGAATGGAACGAGACGCTCGAACTGCCCATCCTCGGCGAGCAGAGCCTCCTGCTCGAGGTCGTCTGCTGGGACAAAGACCGCTTTGGCAAGGATTACATGGGCGAATTTGACGTCATACTCGAGGAACAATTCCAGAACGGACTCACGCAGCAGGAGCCACAATGGTTTCCCCTGCAGTCGCGGCGGTCCGGCAAGAAGAAGTCTGTCGTCTCCGGCGAGATCCAAATCCAATTCTCCCTCATCGACCCCGTCAACCTCGCCGCCACACCCGAGCAGATCCTACAGAAGTTCTTCGCCATCGCAGGACAAACACCAAGCCCAGACGAAGACGAGGGGGAGCTCCTCATGCGCGGCGACAGCAACCTCACCGACGCCGAAGAGGATGAGTCGAGCTCGGACGAGGCACAGGACGAATCAAAGAAGGCCGAGAAGCGGGAGAAGCGGAGGAAGAAGCTGAAGTTAGCCAGACTGAGGAGAAAGGTCAAATCCAAGACCGGCTACGAATACTCTAGCAATGGCGATATAGCTGGTGTTCTCTTCCTCGAGATTCAGAAATGTACCGACCTGCCACCAGAACGCAACGGTAAGTCTCCTGACCGCGTCCTCTTACACAAGCTAATGCATCCCTAGTGACGAGGACTACCTTTGACATGGATCCATTCGTTGTAACCTCACTCGGAAAGAAGACGTATCGTACCAAAACCATTAGTCATAACCTAAATCCCGTCTTTGACGAGAAACTTGTCTTCCAGGTTCTACGGCACGAAACCAATTACTCCGTCAATTTTACCGTCATCGACAAGGACAAGTTCTCGGGCAATGATTACGTTGGCACCGTCAACTTTCCCCTTGAAAAGGCTGTTTCTACAGCCCCACAGGAAGACCCAGAGACGGGGCTATATAGGTTACCTGAGCCATCAGATTCTCCTGGTCTCTCTCCTTCTGAATCCGGCAGTTCAAGGAAGTCCCGTTTCCGCCTCCCCATGTCTCGCTCTGCTTCAACTCACAGTCTATCTCGTCTGGGTCGGCCGTCTCTGAAGAAGGAAAGCTCGACAGGTTCACTCTCTGTACAAGAGCCTAACAATTCCCTGACTCCCAACAATGTTGCAGCCGATTCCAACGGTAATCTTGCTGTAGCCGGCGATGTCAACATAAACCCATCTGCCGCAGATGACGAGGATTTGAAGATGTACACACTACCATTGGAGTTAAAAGATAAAGAGCGCTGGGGCAACAAACACAACCCAACCCTCTACATTCGCGCAAAATACCTCCCGTACAAGGCTCTTCGACAACAGTTCTGGAGAGCTATGCTCAAACAGTACGACGCCGATGAGAGTGGTCTTCTCGATAAAGTAGAACTGACCACCATGCTCGATACTCTTGGTTCCACCCTGCACGAATCGACTATTGACAGCTTCTTCGATCGTTTCGCGGAGGCACATAATGGAGACCTTCTCCTTACATTCGACGAAGCCGTCATCTGTCTTGAAGATCAGCTGCAGGCCACAGAGGCAAGAGACGCCCAGAGGTCTGGATTTGCATCAGGCACACAGACTCCTTCGCTGGCGTCTGGAATGCTCACGCCCATCAATCAGAACAGCTCGACAACCTCCATTCCAGTGCTTGAAACAAACACCTTGGGTAGGGAAGGCGAAGAAGGCGACAACCTGCAGATCGACGATCTTGCCGACGAGAAGGGAGAAGAACATGTCATCGAGATCCGTGAATGTCCCATCTGCCACCAGCCGAAGCTGAATAAGAGGTCCGATGCTAACATTATTACACACATTGCTACCTGCGCCAGTCAAGATTGGAGACAAGTCAACAACATTGTCATGGCTGGTTTCGTCACCTCAAGCCAAGCACAGCGAAAATGGTATTCCAAAGTCATCACTAAGATCTCGTACGGTGGCTACAAACTAGGCGCAAACTCGGCAAATATCCTTGTTCAAGATCGTCTTACAGGTCAAATCAACGAAGAGCGCATGAGCGTTTACGTACGTTTGGGTATTCGCTTGCTCTACAAGGGCCTCAAGTCGAACAATATGGAGAAGAAGCGAAGTAAGTGGCCAAGTGCTGTTATTGTGAATGCATTATACTAATTTGTCGCAGTCCGCAAGTTGCTCAAGTCACTCAGTTTCAAACAAGGAAGGAAATACGACGACCCCGCATCAGCATCTGAGATACTGCCTTTTATCAACTTCCATCAGCTTGACATGTCTGAGGTGTTGTTGCCAACAGACCAGTTCAAGAACTTCAACGAGTTCTTCTACCGAGCACTTAAGCCGGGTGCACGTCCGTGCTCCGCACCTGATGATCCCAGAGTAATCGTCTCGCCGTCTGACTGCCGAACCGTAGTCTTCAATACGATCGACTCAGCGCAAGCCATCTGGGTCAAGGGTCGTGACTTTACCGTCGAGCGTTTGCTTGGTGATGCGTACCCGGAAGACGCGAAACGCTATCACGGAGGCTCTCTTGGTATCTTCCGACTCGCGCCACAAGACTACCATCGGTTCCACATACCTGTCGATGGTGTCATGGATGAACCAAAAACAATCGAGGGAGAATACTACACCGTCAACCCAATGGCTATCCGCTCAGCTCTGGACGTATATGGCGAGAACGTGCGCGTCGTAGTACCCATCGACTCCGTTGCACACGGCCGCGTTATGGTCATTTGCATTGGTGCCATGATGGTTGGCAGCACTGTCATCACGCGTAAGAAGGGCGACCATGTCAAGCGTGCCGAGGAGCTGGGCTACTTCAAGTTTGGCGGAAGCACATTGCTCCTTCTTTTCGAGCCCGGTCAGATGAGATACGACGAGGATCTTGTAGACAACTCGAACTCTGCCTTGGAGACTCTTGTAAGTTCAGTCATGCTTATAGTCAATCCGTGTTACTAATCTTGATAGGTTCGTGTCGGCATGTCTATCGGTCACAGCCCCAACAGGGCGGCCCATGTCCCCGACATGCGCAAAACCAACCCTACCAATGAAGAGAAGCAGGACGCGAAACGCCGCATCGAGGGTAGCATGGCACCTTCAGGCGTGAAAGGACCCATGCCTGGAGCTGGGATGTAGAATAGACTCCATTGCGGTGCATAGGAAAAGGAATACATAAAAGGACATGGGCAGGCTTGGATATTCAACATTGTTCTGGCGTGTGTCTAAGTGGAGTAACGAGATCATGATGGTATGGGAGCATACGGATCAGCGACATGGGTAGTCGCCTGTTCTCTGGCGTTTTTTGAGCGGCTTTGCTTTGACTATCTACTAAGATGTGTCGTTTACATACATGCAGAGCAGTTGGCCCGCATCCTACAACATCGTCTTTATCCCCTGAAAGGTTTGGATCGTTGGGCTCAAGTAGTGGACACTTATCCATGTGGGGTGCACTAGTGCTTCACGTGAACACGCTAGTCCCAAAACCATTGTTTTGATGATGCTGGCGGCAGGTGCACACACCAACTTCCTTGCTCCCGTGTGATAACCGTTCCCCTCCACGCCCGTCGCCTAAGAATATTCGCATTACCGCCAAATCATTACGAGCCTGCGTACGGATACCGCAAGCATATACCTAATCGCACGCGAACCACCATCGTATATCCTGCGTAGCTCGCCCTGTCTACGCTCGCCCGTTTGTCGCGCCAATGCACGCGCTTTGACCGAACTTCAACTCCCCGAAACTCCCGTGACGCAGCAACTGGACTCATGACTACTATCTTCGCGCGCCCACCGCTCCAATCGCTTCCTATGGCCACAAACCGACCGACAACGCGACGAAGGAGCGCAAAACAAGCCTTCGATGACGACGATGCGCCGGCGCCAAAAAGAGCAAAGGCCGAGGTGAATGGGTCGAGCAAAAAGGCGACTGCTGCGCCAAAGAAGACAGCAAAGGCAGCTGCATACGACGAGGACGACGATGGCTTCCAATTTTCGCGTCGCACGTCATCGCGAAGGACTACAAAGGCACAGGCTGCGCCAGCACCAGAACCGATACCCGAGGAAAGACCAACGAAGCTCGCGCAAGCTGTCGAAGCGCAACCCGTCAAATCAGCTGCGCGGAAGAAGAAACAATCAATCGCAGCAGCCGATCCAGAATCTTCAGACTCAGGAAAGCGACGGCGATCAGCGCGCATATCTGCCGACAGTAGACAGTTAGAGGTACGACCGAAGTCCACAGAGCCGCTTCCAACGAAAACTCGCACGAAGAAGGCTGCACCAGTAGAGAAAGAGAGGAAGAAGCAGGTCACACCCCCACCAGAGGTACAACCGCAGCCGAAGAGCACATATGGAGATGTACAAACACCAAGACACAATGAGATACAGGTCGCGAAGAAGCGCGATCCCAACGCCCAAAAGATCATGCTGCCTTTTGCCGACACACCAGTTATAACGAGAAACAAAGAGATGCGGAAGGGCGGCAACAAGGACGGGTCAAGAAGGAGTAGCACAGGCCTGCGAGGGAGGAGAGCAAGTTCGCTGATAGATAGCGGACAATCGAATGGTGAGTCTGAACACGATGCACAGACAAAACCCCCTAAGGGCATGGAAAAGCGCTTCCAGTAGGTAGTAAGTACTGACAAATTCGCAGCGCTACCCCATTCCGAAGTCGAAGTACGAGATTTCTACAAGTACATCGAACAAAGTCTACCCGAACCACGGCGGATGAAGCAGCTTCTAACATGGTGTGGATCGCGAGCACTACCAGCGAAGCCATCGGGCGACGTCAAGAACGCGAACGCGATCATGGCTGCGCGAGCCATTCAACAAGAGCTTATAGACGACTTTGCAAGCAAACCTGAGCTTTCGGACTGGTTCAGCAGGGTACGTGGATGGGCTTCAGTAAGATATGAATTTGGGCTGATTGTTATACAGGAAGAAACAGCGCCACCACCTGTGGTGAAGAAGCCGAATCCCCAGAATGAGATGAACAAAGCCAAATTGGAGGAATTGGAAGACGAAGTCAAGCGGTATGTCTTGAAGTCTACCCATTACACGAACGCACCAGACTGACAGCGGAGTAGTCTCGAAGATGAGAAAGCCGCATGGGAAGCCATTGCATCAGCATCGAAAGCTAGCCTTCCTCCGCCTGCACCTTCAATACCCACTGCGGCACCCACACTATCGGATATCGATACATCCCTCCTCGATCCCGAGCAAGTCGCCATAATTTCCTCCCTCCAACTATCACAACCACAGACCTCACCACAACCGCCGTCATCAGCATTCACATTCACATCGCCTACGGCACTACAATCACATCTCACATTACTCGCCAACTCACTAGAACCGCACATCGACCTCTTCGCAGATGGTGTTCATAAGATCGAGCAGTATCGCGCTACAGCAGAAAAGGTAGCGGATTGTGTGCTAGGGACAGCGGCAAAGAGGCTAGAGGAGCGAGATCGGGAGGCAAAGGAAAGAGTCGGAACAGAAGGAGTTGGTGTAGGCGACATACTGAGAGGCCTTGCAGGCGTACTCAGGGAGCAATAGATATGCAAGCGTTTATTGCAATCAAATACAAGAGTTACCGGCGGGAACGGATAAGGACTGGTATTCAGACAGACAAACGTCTTATGAGAATGATCTATGTGGCTCTTTCTTCGGCCTTTTCGCCTTTTCCCAGAGACATACTTCGCAGGCATTTTCGTATGGTGTTCAGTGTGCGCGGGAATGGATTGGGAGAAAACGATATACCCTTCTGTTTTTTCGCCTTTGATGTAAATATTATTCGAGCAAGAGTACCATCACACTATCTTGCTGCGCGGCTGAAGAGTCATGTACTTCAAGCAGAGTGCCAGAAATGTGATCGCGATTGCATGTGATCGCTAAAGTAGACCGAGAAACCTTGAAGCTACGGTTCGTGATTGACAGATGACGATCATCCGTCAGTTCTTGCATTAACACAAGCCTTCATCAACATTCCTATATTTAGCTCACTCCCATTTCACGTATATCTCTTCGCTGCCTCTCTTAGCTTCTAACGCACCATATAGCCAGTCTTCCAATCTCGTCTTCCAGGTTCAACGCAAATCCCATCGTGATGCGGAGGAAAAGTACGCGCTCTTCTAGGTAGCGGAGAACATCAATAGGAGTGTGCAAGAGTTGCTCCGATGTGCGGCCGAGGAGTTGAGACCATGCAGCGTCCGAGAGGATGAGTTTTCCAGAGCTAATCTGGCCGGTTTCGTCGAGGAGAGCACCGAGCTGGAAAGCATCAGGGATAGAACGAGATGATCTTCGAGAGGAATGGAGCCCACTTGCTATTCTTGGACTGATCCTCAGTTTTACCATCCTACCACACTGCTTGCACTCAATCTCTATGTTGTTGGCGAAAATAGGGATTCCGCAGCATTCATTGCTCATGAGCATATTTCGCCTAAACGTTGTGACAATGTTAAGCTCTGTGACGATAACGCTGAGGTAGCCAGCAATAGTCTCCTTGGATCTTTTGTTCGAGAGCGAGCGAGCGACGTCATCCACATCCGCAAATGTGTACAGTGCTCTTATGGCTGCAGTCTTGAAACCATCAATCAAACTATCAGCGATAGGAAATGGCGGATTGACATGTTCTTTCTTCGTCAGTTTTTGTGCTAGCGCTCTCAATCTCCGTGCATCACCCATGTCTGGGTCGATATCGATGCGTGAATTACCGCTCAGCGTGAGCCTGGCCAACTTCTCTATCCGCCATCCGGGGTTTGAGATCAGCAAAACTGTTTTCGAGGCAATGAAGAGAGATGCAGAGTCGCACATGGAAGAGTACAAAGTAAGTTGACCGTCGGCCGTGTCGTCAAAGATACCGATGGAGATAAGTTCGGAGGTTGTGCCGTTGCGGTTCATGTCTGGTTGTTGAGTAAGCCACTGATAAAGACACGATTAGGTAGTATGGGGGATAGAAACCACTCACACTTTTTCCGCGCTCCGATACTCTTGACACATACCAGCAACTTCGGCTCTTCGACATCGTACCCACCATCCGTGAAGCTCTTCAGCGTCATCAGTCCGGTCAACACCTTATTCTCCCGTATACCATACGGTCTCCTGTACCTCCTTCCATCATCACTATTCTCGTGCACCATAACATGACAGTTCCTATCGCCCTCGGGAAAGATGGTAGTAAACATTGGAGCAGTATTCGGAGCCAAGGAATTAAACTCGGACGAATTCGAAATATGTACCGTCCACACACTGAGAAGCTGGCCTAGCTTGAGTCTATACTGCGTGGTGTTATACCAAATGCGCACAGTAAGAACACCGGTATCGTCTGCAAGGAGGACCTTGATGCATCCTTGAGCTGCTTTGTGTGATTTGCTTGGTCTGGCTTGGTCAATGAAGTAGACGACGCGGCCCATGAGAACGAGGTTGCAGGGACCAGGCTCGAGTGTGCCTAGATCAGCTTCTTCGTAGTCAAAAGCGGGCTTTCTGTTGTGTTAGCGGTGAGAAAACACGACTGCGTAAGGCGCATACAGCCCATGCACTTGTAGCAGTCGCTTCCAATGAGGCAAGAGGGGCATGAACCTCTTCTGTGGCGAAGCCATCGTTATTCTTCGTCGTCGATGATGAAAAGTAAGACTGAAGTGAGGGTGAGGCAGGCATTTTCTCCCATGCAAGTCGGTGTTGAGGAGGTAAATGCATTTGCAGTATTGGGGCTAATGTTGAGGTGAGATTTGAGACAGGAGCGTTCCTGCCGCTTCCCTGAAATGCAGTATTCGCCGGAATCTCGATGAGGAAGTCGCATGACCCTGGAAGCCAAACTATTGTATATGCGCACATTTGAAATATCTGTACGCTTCGTTGTAGTGTTACTACGTCGAATTGTGGCGCCAGAATGCAAGCACCATTTGACAAGGCCTGGTATTACTATCAGGTCACAAAAGATCAGGCAGAATTATAGTAAAACAGATTTTCTATTGCTTCAAAGAGAGTAATGAGTTGGTCGAATCATGTTGTGAGCCACATGTGCCTCTAGAGCATCATGCGATATGTGCCGCCGTTCAGTTCCAATCGATATATTGGAGGCTCGCCACCGTCCATCGATCTAGAAGAGCTTGTGCTCCAGGGTCATGTCGTTCTCCGGTTCAAGACCGACGCAGGCACGGAAGATATTAGTGAGAGCTGCGCGCTGCTTCGCAAGAGCATTGACAACAGGTGTGCCAGGAGGGGTGAGTGGAGCCTTGAGCATATAGCTGAGGACACTGAGAACGCTGTGAAAGTTGTTGAACTTTGCATCACTAGCCTCGGCGCTGTGGGACTTCCACTGCACACGAGTCATCATCTCGGCGACGAGAACCAGATCGATGATCAATGGCGAGGCTAGGAGAGAGTCCTCGCAGACATTGAACAAGCTGATGGTCTGGTGGCCGTCAAGGAAGATCTCGGCGTAGTACTCGTCCAGGGCACGCTTGTCGTCTCCAACAGCGGGCATATACTTGATGACCACACAATGGTCAGGGTGCTCACCGTCTTTGTACAAGACGTTGTTCGCAGCGACCATGTCGTCGACGACATTGGACTTGGAAATCTCCTTGGAGCGGAACTGCTTCTGGGAGCTAAGATTCATGCCGTCATTGTTGCCCAGGTGATTGTACGAAGCAATGGAGGTGAGCTTGATACCAGCGCTGATCATGAAGTCAACCAGAGCAGACTTCATCTTGGTTTGGCCAGACTTGAAATCGTCGCCCCCAATGAAGGCATTGTGCTGCTCAGCGAGCTGAATAGCACCAGGCACGAACGTGTTCTGAGGGGAGCCATTGATGAATGGAACGCCCTCAAGAATTGAGGCAACGGCAAAGACGGTGGAAGGAGAGACCTCTTCGTGACCAGACTCAATAGCCTTCATCAGATTGTCCGCCGTGTCGTTAACGCCCTCAATGATGTCGGCGTAGCGCTCAGTGTTAGCAGTCCATTGTACAATAACCTTGTCGAGATTGTTGGCAGCCTTGAAGTCACTTGATCATTGTTAGCGAGGACAAGAATGCAGTGTGGAAGCTTTCGACCTACCGGATGTCCTTGCGGATCTGCTCAACATGGGCCATGGAGGCCTTGGTACCCTCAAGAACATTGTCGGCACGCTCTTCTTGGTTGGCAGCAATGAAGTCCGGGTAGTAGATGCTAGGAAGGGGCTTCATAGCGCCCATCTCCTTACGCACAAGGGACTTCAGAGACGGCGATAGAACCTTGGCGCGGTCCATCGCTTCAGCAAGGTTCATCCCGCTAATGTCCCACCCACCGACGACAAGGTCGTTGGGGTGGACCATAGGCAGGAGGTCATGAAATGGAATGTGGATCTCCTGACCAGTCTTGCTATCGACGCCGAGCTTAGTTGTAGATCCCATGATGACCGAGCCATAGTAGTTAGCGCCACGCTTGCCCTCCTTGGTCTCCCAAACGAGGTTTCGCTTGTTCGCGATGATACCAGCGGTGACCGTAGTGCCATTGTTGCCGCCCCAGCCAACCAGCATAACGCCGGTCTTGGGGATCTTGCGGTCGACCTTGAAGTCGTAGAGCGTCTCCTTGGGAATAGCCACATACTTGCCGTCGGCGTTCTTGGTAACGTCGGTGGTACGGTAAGTGTACTTTGACCTGATGGTTTCCTCGGTGTACTCTACGTTAGGAGAGCTGACAACAAAGAGATCCTTGGGAGCCGTTTTCACATCGAACCCATTCGCGTGACCGACGCCGTCTTCTGCGTGTGGTGCCATGTTTACAATTGAAGTTCTTTCTGACTTGGTGAACTTAGTTGCGGAAGTCTAAATCCGACGCTGCCCCAGAGGGAGAAGTGCGTCGGCCGGCGAATGGGTTGTGGATCCTGCCAGATGTCAGTATAAAGCGTCCCCATGGGGTTATAGCGGGGCACATACGAGCTGAGGAGATTGGAAAACGTCTTGACAGCTGGGCAATGGCCCGGGGAAATCTGGGTGTGGTTGATAGAAGGGAGAGAGATTGTAAGCTTGACAGTCGGCTGTTATCTACAATCGGTGGTGTGTTGTGGCGGGTGAGGAGACACGGAGGGGAGTTGCGATATAAATGCCTCCAGTGTCCCGGCTGACTTAGCAATAATCGTACGCGATCGTTCCCGCCTGCTGCCGGACAGCGTGTTCACCCACCGCTTCTTTGCCTTTACCTTCCATACCCCCCACTTTTCGTACTAATTTACATCGCCGTAACCTTGTTCGGTATGTCCAACACCAATGGGCACGCAGCAGCAGTGTTCGCGATGCTCGCCATGCCCCACTATTTCTTCCACCATCCCAACATGCAGCAACAACAACCGCAGTAGGTATGGTGACTGTGTAAGCGATCCGGACGAGAGCGCTCTATGAGTCTCAAGCGAAGGCACATTGCATGGACAGCTGTCATCGCATCCTCGAGTGTACCGCTGTGGAATTTTATTATTTCCTCCTATGAGGTACCTGTATAGGCAGATACTACCTAGGTATTCAACAGATACGTACCCCGCCATCACGTGCTCCGTACTCCCGTAGAAGGGGCCTCGGGGACTTCCAGCCTGTAATGGACGTCTCATGACTTTCTGCGCAGATGCGAAAACACGTCTGCCCACGAAATGACAAGCATGGCATTTGGAGGATTCTGAGCCACGGACTGTTTCAAGGCACAGTGGTGTCGTCAGTCAAGCGCGACGGCAGCACTCGATACGTTTTCTGCGTCAAAAATGTTTACAGAACGAAGGAAAGGCACGCGACACCATCTGCAACGCATTTTTGTCTAGCAGCCGCCATGCAAGACAGCCACTGTTGACAGATGACAGATGCTGCTTGTTTGCGAAATATCTACACGAAACCAACAACAAATCGATAGTATTAACCGTAATGGCAGACACATTGAAAACCAGACCCTGGGATCGCTTGCAGGAACAACGAATGCGGCAACCTGCATGTGAAGTTTGCTGATCGCCAATCAGCCTCGCAGTTCGCCATGGGAACCATGTCAACACATGCAGAGCGGGCAGGGAGAGTGACATCCTCCAGGGGCAGCTGTTGGCGCAATGGTATGCCTTCAACTGGTTGAAACTTCTGGCTCTTGCGACAGATCAAGCATTTTGTCTCGTGGTCCACACCGACATGAAAAGATCATGAACGAGAAACTGTTGACGTAGCGAAAGGGGCGCTTAAGCCATGGATAATTGCTACATGCAACGTAGATCGACCAGCGAGAACGACGTCGCATATGGCCAATCACGCCGAAGAGTAATGTCCGGCCCTGGTGGCTTGATAGCGCATGGGCAGCAGGCGATCAGAGCCTCCAGCCACCTGCTCACTGTAGCAGGACTTGGCTTTACTGTTCTGGCAGCGTTGCTGCCGCGATTTGCGACCTCCTTGAGCTTGTGAACTCTGTTGACTTCGGTCCGCAGGCGTGACATCGTGTATCGGCGATGATGTTGCGTCCGAGACTCCCCGTCGCTTACTATGGTTTCATCGCAAGTCGCCGCCGCTGGAACAGAGGGAACCACACGATTTGCCCAGGTACAAGTCGTCGCTCCGTGCGCACGCCTGTCGAATCATGGAGACCAACTCGCACGACGTCTCGCGCCAATTTTCAGGGACGCGCGAGTTACGTGAAGGGTACACACAAAGAAAGCGATTTGTGCGCTTTGCCTCTCGCTATTGGGCCTTCGTGTCTAATTGCCGATCAGCCTTATTGTGCAATGCGAGCTGTGTGTGGCCAACGCCCAGACACGGTCATAACCGCTCTCTTGATCATAATTCATTAGCATCAAATACCCAACATTGCGCGTGTCGATTGTGGGGCTAAACAGCCTCTTAAACCGCAGGATGCAGTGACGCTAGCTTTTATCCCGCTGCCGTCCCTGAATGCTAGCCAATTCGGAACCATGCCCGCATGCTTCCCCTGATTCAGCAAGGCCCACCCACACCGTTTCTGAGGATCGAACAACCCTGTTCAGCTTTGTTTCTCGGCGCGCCCATCTATCATCCGTCCTCGAAGACTGCCGCATGACTTGCTCCCACTTCATGTCACCAACCTTCATATCGCCTTACGAATTAATACCGCTGGACGTGAACGGCCTTACATTGCATGTCCAGGCACGAACGGCCTTGGACTTCTTCCTCAAACCAGCTCTGCAAACACGCTCAACATGGAGCGAATGAGCACTCTTCCGACCATCAAGTGTTCATCTTGCGCTGTGGACATTGATATTCTTCATTTAGCCGACCATGTTTGCGCAGCAGCACCCCCATCGGGTGAGTACAATACGGTACACGACTATACACATAAGCTTATCAGTTTAGCAACGACGGTTCCCGAGCCCATGTCCCCCACCTCAACTGTCTCTCCAGAATCTCCACCCTCTATAGTTTCGCCGAAACTCAATCGCGCAGCAACTTTTGGTGGACCAACTTTTAGCAACAGGTCGGACCGTGTACCGCAATCGGGTCGCATGCCTCCTCCTCCACGGATTGATTCAAACGCAGCCAGTAAGCAAGCAGAGCAGGAAACCACTGTTGCTGGTAGACCTCGTGCTGATTTGTCTAGACAGGCCATTTCGACCGCTAGAACCATCAGCGATGACTAACCAAAGTGATCACAGAAGTCGCTCTCCAGGTCTAGTACCGCCA